TCTAATTCAAATTTGCTTCCGAACAACTTAATGCGCATACTAAATGAATATAATACAAAAATCAATTAACGATCAATGTCTACACAACCTATTCACTTTATTTTATACTTCAAATAAAATAGAACGCCACTGCGCTCTGTCGACGACCGCGTGATGAGCGGACCCGCCCACGATGACGTAGCGGTCATATTCTAAGAGCGTTCGAACTCTACACTGTACACTTACCAGGGTAGGCTTAGCTTTCATGCGAAACACTGGGGATGTTAAGCTGCGGATAAAGTTCATACAATCGCCTCATTAACGTCGCTTTTCACTTTTTTCAACAGCCCGTCTGGGGGAGTTTTCTCAATACTTTTCGTCTGATTGTTTCATGGTGCGTACAGAGATGACTGAAAAGCAATGTTATCCGTTTCTTTTTTTGTCAAAAATGTATTAGTTGTGCGTTTTTTATGCATATTTTCACCAATCGTTACCTGTTAGCAAATAAAGGTACAGCTTTAAAATGGCATGTGAAAATTTCGCTTTTATGGGAGAATGAAGCGAATGATTACTTGTTTTCTCTTCACTTTTTCTCTTGAAAAAAGGTCATTGCTTTCCTTGAAAACAAAATTTTTTGTAAAAAGAAGTTTCAAGAAAATCAAACATTTTTTGGAGGAAAAGTGATGAGGATAAAAGTATTCAGTCGCTTTATTTTTCCATAAAAGTGGAATAATCACATACAATTTCAGAGCTGTACTAATATTTGTTAACAAGTTACGATTGATATAAAAATGTACAAAAAATGCATTTTTTGTCAGAAAAATGATATTATTGTTCTTCAGTCATCTCTGTACACATCATAAATGATCAGATGAAATAATTTAGAATTCTGGTTTAAACAGGCAGTTAAAAAAAGAATATGGAACCTTGATTCAAGTGTTAGAACTGAGTGAACAGTTGAGATTTTGTTGTTACTCAATAGACGAGTCTATTTCCAAATGTATTGTGCTATTAACATCACAATACAAGAATATACGTCTTTCAGCCTAATGTTATATTTTCCTGGACCTTCTATTCAAAATACAAATATCTTTCTTAAAAAGAGTAATCAGTTAAACATAATACAATAAGTTGTGAGTCAATGGTAGCTTCTGCTCAAGTTTCATGTTCAAATGTCGCAAATTACGACGACGTATAGACTGCATGACTTTTCTTGGAAATCGGCAGAGGTGTTACGTAACTTGAAGTGACATTATGTCATGTTTTTGACATTATGTAGGGTTTTTATGACATTATGTAGGCCTTCCAAGACGCCAACTCGGAAATAGCTCCCGTTCACTTTATGCTTACTTGTAGCAAGCTCGGAACGAACTATTTGCACACTAGCCTACTTAGTCAACAGGTTGACATTTTATCTTTTTTTTTGACATTACATAGGTTTTTACGCGGTACTTGATGCTTTCATGAAAATGCCAGTTAACTCACAATAACCTTGACAACTTCAGCTAGTTCCAGATATGATGCTATTAACGTAGGTATAAGAATGATTTCAAGAAAAATTTCAACTACATTGTTCCTAATAGTCTAATCATATTAGATGAAAATACCTCGGGTTTGCGAAATAATTGTAAAGTCTGGTTTCATTGCTCCAAGTTGTTCAAGGGGGTATTCAAAACATGGACACATAAAATGGGTAAACCAATTTTTGTGGGAAAACTTTGTATTCGACAACAAAGAATCAGAAAACGCGTTTTTTGGGATTCAATCGAAAGTGTTGGCAGGAACGCATAATCTCTTCATATAAGATTTTTTGATATTTATGAGATCTACAAAATGATACTACACGTAAAAAGATCCGACTAATACCAAAAAAGTTATGGCCAAAAACCGAGGCAAACTGCAGGTTTTGGCACTTGCTGGTAATGCGACAATGGTTTCTTGCAAATATTTGAAATTCTCCAAATTCGTAGGATTCGTACTTCTAAATGAGCACAACAAAATTGAAGTAGATTGGCCAAGTAGTTTTTGAGAATTTCTGATTGTTTATCCAAAAATCCCTGTCCTCCGGCCATCACTACTAGCTTATTGAGCAATATACAGGGTTAGTTCAAAGGACATTTTATAGCAAAATACACTAGTTCACCTTGCTGATATGAGTCTCAAACCATTCCGGAAGATAAGTGTTATTTTTATGCAAAAAATGATGGGTTACGTTTTTTCGTCTAAACAAACACAAACATTTCGTATTTGTGAGCAATTCTGAACAAAAGACGATAGACACATCCATTTTGCTTCAAAATGTGTATAGTAATGTATTTCGAGTATCGTAGGGCATTTGTTCAATTACTCACAAATACGAAATGATTGAATTTGTTTAGAAGAAGAAACGCAACCTTTGTTTTTTGCATAAAAATAACATTTATCTTTTGGAATGATCTATGATTCACATCGGCAAGGTAAACACGTGTATTTTGCTACTAAGTGCTCTTCGAACGAACTCTGTATATTTCTCAATAAACTAGTAGTGATGGCAGGAAAACAGGTGTTTTGGGATAAACAATTAGAGATCTCAAAAAACTACTTGACCAATATAGTCCAATTATGTTGTTGTTATTTAGAAGTACGAATCCTACGGATTTGAAGAATTTCAAATAGTTGCGTGAAATTATCAAGTGCTGAAACCTGCAATTTGCCTCGTTTTGCGGCTATAACATTTTTGCTATTAGTGGCATCTTTCTTCGTGTGGTCTCATTTTGTAGGACTTGTAAATACCTAAAAATCTCATATGAAAAGTTTTTTCCTTCTTGTAAAGCCTTTGGGTTGAGTCCCAAAAAACACGTTTTCTCATTCTTTGTTGTCAAATAAAAAGATTTTCCACAAAAATTGGTGTACCCATTTGCTAATATGATTAGACTATAATTCAGAACTACCTAACAAACTGCTGTGCGCAAAGGCATCTTCCAGGTTTCCCATAAATAAGAAATTCCATTGCATTACATCGTCCGCTGTGGCGATTATTGCTCCGAAACCGTCCGTCCGAACGCTTATAAAAACTTAATAAAGCTAAACACACACCTTTCATGCGTTAATAAAATAATTTATGGCTGGCAATTTGCGGCCATTTGTCTTTATTTCCACCAGGCCGTTGTTCACGAGTTGAGTGAGATACCATCACTTCTCGCGTCATCCGCGTCTGGACATTGTAGAGACACCAATCGGGTACCACTCTTGTGTCCTCGAGTAGAGCTGGGTCGGTTCTGAAGGAGTCGTTCCAGAGGAACGACGGCACAGTAGAAATTGGTTCCGGTAGTCATGAGAGACAATCATGTGCAACATGACAAGCTTCATACTTGTTAACTTTTTATATTTTCTCTCGAAACTTTTTGGCAGTTCACGTAATGCCAGCGGGATGCATCTCTGGTATGGTAGCCAAAAATGAGACAACGCTCTGCCATTGCAAAATTAAGCAAGGTACAAAGACTTGCTTGACTGTCGATAAAAGGTGCAATGAAGAGCGCTCCAACTGCAGCACTTGGAACCATGCTGAACCTCCCACCCATACAATATGTAATAATGGGAGAGGCGAGACCTAAATAGGAGATGAACGAAACACTAAAGGCAGAACCTGGAAGGGGAAATTACTTGGTTCTCACGAGTCAAAAACTGAGCAAGGAACAGTTACAGGTATACATGGGAACATGTGCAATCTTGGGCATAGTATACCGCTTGGAAGTCACACTTCTGTATTTCAAGCAAAAGTGTATGCAATCTTTCACTGCACAAGCATAAATAATGAGCGAGCGTAAAATAATAAAAGCATCGCTATATACCCTGCCAGTCAGGCGTCACTCATAGTGTTACGAAGTCCTAAAGTAACATCTGCACTGATCTGGGAATGACAATAAGATCTGGAGTCCCAAAAACTGAAAGTTCTTTTTTTCAAACGCATACCCTCTAATTTTGCTTGAATAATGTCAAAAACAATTGTAAATAAAGTTTTATGTACCTAGAACCAGGACAACCCGTACCGAGTTGCGTTGGAACATGTCAAACTTGCATATTAGGCGCACACTAGCTAACGTATTGCAGAGCTCGTTTGTTCTATACTGAGTGACGAAAAAAGGTAAACACCTACGTATGTCTATTGGAATTCAAGAATTTTTTACATATCGATTTATCTTGCCATGAACAACAAATTAAGTTTTTGTGGTAACTGCGTGTATTGAGAGACAGATTCAGTAGTACTCGAGCCATTGCTAATCAGTGGTTTGAAGAGCATGGAATGACGACTGGTATGCGTACGGTATATCGCCGAATATGACAGTTTGGCCTTTTTTCTTACCACCCACATTGGGTGCTACCCCTCACAGCTGAACATCGGCGTAACCGTTTGCTCTGGTGTAGAGAAAGAAAAGGGAAAAGGGAATATTTTTAATATTGAGCATAAAATATTAAATTACCGTTAAAAACTACCCTCTAACGCAGGGTTTCCCAAACTTTTTTTTTGTTGAGGTTTCCCGGACAATAAATTATATTTTGATGCCCCCCTTTACTTTTTCAATAAATACCAAAAAACGCACATTATATAGGTACAAAGGCTTTTATTTTAATTCAAATAAAGAAACTTTTAAAGTTTAAATAACCTAATAAATGTTTTTTATCGAAAAACTTGAATAAAATAAGAGTAGGTACTAATGAGACAGATTCCATGTTCTGTACCAGTTGGTTGATTCTAGGTTCTGTTTTTGCCAGAGCTATCATCAGGCCGATATCGATATCAAGACCATTTCGCTGTTTAGTTTTAATTAAATCTATAGCAGAAAAGTCTGTCTCACATAAGTAAGTTGAAGAGAAAGGAACTAGTATTCGTAAAGCAAGAGAGGCAAGGGTCGAATTAACAAGCAATCTTTTGATCCAAAATTTCTCAGATGTATATGTAGTACTTGCTGTCAAAGATTGGGAGTACAAAATCTCGTCTTGAATGATATCTCCGCCGATGTAACGAACATAAACTATTAACTGTGCACAATTAACGATGTCGGTGGATTCATCGCAACTAATGACAAAGAATACTGACAATTTTACTTTGTTAATTATTTGTGACTTAATGTCTGCTGCCATGTCATCGATTCTATGGTTGACTGTGTTATTCGAAAGAGAAATATCTTCATTTTTTGCTCTGCATCTTCTCCTAAAAATATCTGCGTGGCTTTTAGGACACATATGGATTTATTAATTCTTCACCGATAGTATGAGGTTTCTTTTGCTTTGCTTTGCTACACCTGTGTGATAACTTCCCGATTTATACAGTCTCATCCGCCTGAGTGATTCTGCTTTCTAAGAAAAAAACACTTTCGTCTTCAAAAGCAGAGTAGGATGTTGTTGCTTCAAATACCTTTCAAGGCGATTGGGCCTCATGCTATCATTACTTAAAACTTTCATACATATTACACACTGAGGCAATTTTAACTCGTCTTTTTCTATGAAGGTAAATACAAACTTAACGTAATCTTCAGAAAATTTACATGTTTGGTTGCGTTGTATAATGACTTTTGAAAATTAAACCGCTTATGTGGTGGAGAGTAGAACGTTTTTGTTGGGAAGTCAGAATATTTTAAATTAAGCCAGTGTACAAGTAGGAGTGTGTTTTGTCATCAACTTTAGCTTCAAGCTAATAATTTTTAACAAAGAGTTCCTCATGACGGGCAGGAGGAGGTTGAATATTTTTATGGAGAGCTAGAATATTTGACTTATGGTCAAGAAATTCGGCAGAGAAGTACTTTAAGGATAGGATGTATCGGCTGAGAAGCAATTTTGCGGATTAAGGAGGCTGAGGGCAGCATACATGGAAGCGAAATCAAAAAATCTCGGAGGCTACATGACCTACGAACATAAAATTGGCAGAAAGATTTTTTATGGACAAGATATTTCAGCTAAGAATGGAGTTTGCTGCAGAGTCTGATTAAAGGGGTTAAATGGAAATTGCAATTTCGTTTGAAATTGCTGGAAGTTTATTTCTGCTAGATATCTAAGAATGAGCAATACTAAGACTCTGTTTACAGTAGACTCACACTAAGAAAGGATTTTTTGACCGAAAATACCTACAGCTATCGCCACCTTCGTCGGTCGTGCTAGTGTGAGACTCCTGTCAACAATCCTTTGGCAGCCATGGCTTCACAGATATCTTGGCGACTGCTTCTTGGTGGATGTTCTCCTTCCCTTCTCTCTGGTCGAACCCATTTCCATATCCGCTCCAGATTTCTTCTTTGTCTAATACTATTGTGGCGGATATGTTGAATTCGAGAAACGCCTCAACTTCTCCTCCAGAAAACCATCTCCCACAATATAGTTCTATATGTGGCAATGCATTCCAATATGGTTTTGTAGATCCTGCATTTCGTCATTTTTGTTATGTTATTGTTCCACAGTTCTTGATTAAGTTGACTACTACTATTCGTCATTTATTTGTCTGGGCGGTCCGTAGGACCTTTGCCCATTAGTCACTGTCTGATGTACGTTAGTCGAATCTGTCAGTCCTGGTTGCCCAGAAACCAGACAAAGTCAAGGAAAAAGAGAAAGGGAAAGAGAAGAAAAAAGGAGAACAAAGAAAAACAGATATGCTTAGTTTAAGAGGAAACACCTAGGCTTTTTGACTTGGTACACGGATTAATTTTGAGGTGAACTAAACAAATTTTTGATTCGGTTTTGTTAGAGTGTAATTTTGAGTTTACTAAAGATTCACGCTAACTTTTGATTACAGTGCGAGCCGTGGCCTTGAATGTTTACGAACTTGCTCCACTGTGTAGTCCACTGAGTCATGCAACAGAGGGTTGCTGTGCGATTCCGCTTGACTATAACGTCGCTGCGCCTGAAGCTTGACATAATCCCTCAAGTAAGGAATGTCAAGGTCTCTGTGTAGCGTCTCATTTGAGACATACCATGGAGCGTTGCAAATTGTCCGCAAAGTTCTGCTTTGCAGTACTTGAAGACTTTGCATGCGTGTCTTGGCAAGAAAACACCAAGCCGCACATGCATAAGTAATGGCTGGTCTAATAATCATTTTATATAGTCGAACTTTGTTTATCAAACTCAATTTGGAGGATCTACATTAACAAAGGATATAGTTGCCGAAACGCAATTTGGAATTTTGTTTTTATGGATGCTGTATGTTTCTGCCAGGTCATGTCTTTATCAAGGGTGACACCGAGATACTTGGCAGAATTTGTCCATGGTACACGATTTCCGTCTACAGAAACCTCTGCTGGGGGCCGCGACGTTTTTTGGTACAATAAATAGCCTGCGTTTTCGAATGATTAATTTTTATCAGCCACCGTTCCGCCCACTCTAGAACTTCGTCCACCGCATTCTGCAACCCATCGTGAACCAGATCACCAGTACACGACTGGGCGACAAGTGCAGTGTCGTCAGCATAGAGGTAGACTTCACAGTTGCTGAGGGAAGGGACATCATGGATGAAAAGCGAATAAAGAATTGGTCCCAGGACCGAACCCTGAGGAACACCGGCCCGTACTCGCCGTGTTGTTGACAAAACATTGTTAATTTTGATCCGAAACTTCCTTCCTTCAAGAAAGGATTTCAGTAATTTTAGAAGCCAAAAAGGAAAACCCTTTTGGATTAGTTTATAGAGGAGGCCCGCGTGCCACACCTTGTCAAAGGCTTTTGAGACATCCAAAAGCAAGATGCCAGTACTCATGCTAAGGGTGAACCCTCTGGTTACATGCTCCACCAGTCTGACTGTCTGTAGCTCGGTGCTATGCTCGGACCGAAAACCGAATTGGACGTCAGGAATCACATGGTGATTTGACGAAAAATTCTCAAGGTGACGATAAATCACCTTTTCGGCGAGCTTAGAAGGAGCTGACAGCAGACTTATGGGACGGTAATCCTGAGGAAATATCGAACCCACCTTCTTTGGAATCATGATGACCTCAGCAGTCTTCCACCCAGCAGGGAAGTACTGGATTTTGAGCGTCGCATTGATTATTGTCACCAACTATGTCAGGGCTTTCGGCGAGAGCAGCTTCAACGCCTTGTTGGTGATTTGATCCTCCCCAGGTGCTTTACGCACCTAGAGGTCTTTAATATGACTTAGTAACTCCGCTGGTGTGCAATGTGGAAACTCGGAGGGTTCCGCTAATGTGCTATGTGGAGCCTCAGACGAATCTTCTGAAGAAGAGTCATCTGAAGAGGATTCAGTGCCTCCGCTAACGCCGTTGGCCCTAAAATATCTCCTGACGGATCGTACGATGTGCTGTTCCTCGTCGAGGTCATTATCGAGATCATAGTTGGGAGAGAACTGTTTTTCCATGGCATCAGCGAAAACCTCGACCTTATCCTCCGTTCTGAAGACTATGCCTTCAGGACCGTGGATGTGTGGGAGTTGTTCTCGCTTTCCGTTTCTGAGTGATTTTGCGACCCTCCAGAGAGGAATACTTGAATCAAGCATTCCCGCCAGAAAGTCGCTCCATTGCTCGTTGCGGAGTTCGTGCAGTGCGTGTCTCACTTCATGGACAAGATTTGTAGCCCTACGAATGTCATCAGGATGACAAGACCTTTTTGCCTACTTAATAGCGGCTCTTTTGTCAGAGATTTTCTGACGAATGTCCGCAGGCAAAAAAGGTCTGCCGTGTCGTTGTACAGGAAATACAGCTGCACGCTGTAGAGCTGCTTGAATGAAACTTGGCCACTCCGCTTGAGCGGCATCTATTCCAGACTCATCATCTATAATCGGGATATTGGGAAACTCTCTAAGGAGCAACTTGTATAGGTCCCAATTAATGCGTTTCCTTGGAGGAGCTGCCTCCTTAGAAGTTTGCTCATTGCCCACATCCAAGACAACAGGTAGATGGTCACTAGAGATATCATACAAGATTCGAGAAGAGATACTGTATCTACAGTTTTTAGATATCGCGAAGTCGATGACATCTGGTGCCTGAAGATGGTTGAATGGATGATGTGTCGGCTCTTCAGTGCTATGTATAAGGTACCCATTTCGCATCACATGGTTGTACAATCGAACCCCACTAGTGGAATTCAACCTAGAATTCCATGCTCGATATTTGCAGTTGAAGTCCCCTGCCACAATAAGCGGACCCGAGTAGTCCAAAAGGACCTCCAGATCCGCCTCTTGTAGCCTGGCACCACACCTGACATACACCGATGTGATCTTCAACGAGACACCTCCCGCCATATTGACCACCACAGAAGCTGCTTCGATGCTATGCATCTCCGCATTAGTGCTTCTATAATAGTCTATACCGCGTTTAATCAACACTGCTAAACCGCCGCCTCGACCATTCAATCTGTCACCTCGGATAACATCATAATTCGGGAGAGCTAAACGATCTCCCGGATTAAGCAACGTTTCCTGCAGCAAGGCCACATCTATACCTTCATCCAAAAGAGCTTGATGAAATTCCCATTTTTTGGGAATATCCCTCATGCCCAAACAATTCCAAAAAAGAATTTTGATGAATGCAGGCTGTCTACTATTGTACCTAGACATTTACAGGAAATATCGCCTGCAACGCTTGGGTAGCGCTAATCAGTGGGTTTATTATTTGTTGTAAGGACCTTAGCGCGGTTGCCAGGTCCACATTTTGCGTGCTCAAGGGAGGTTGGGCAGAGGGGGCAGGCAAGGTTGCCTCCCGAGCTGCGTCCGCGTATGATATATTGCGCCTTTGCGCTATAACTTGCAAGTTCCTCCTTGGAGTGAACTTGCAAGTCCGGCTATTTCGGGGTGTCCCTCTCCACAGTTCGCGCACTTGCGTTCTTCCTCTTCTGTGAGGGGGCACAAATGCGTCATGTGGTCCTTTGCACATTTTAAGCATTTGGGCGGTGCAGTGCAATATGACTGCGCATGCCCATACTTTTGGCAGCGGTGACACTGCCCAATGAGTCTGGAGTTCTTCTGAACCTCAACTCGAATGGCCAGTCCCAGCAGTTCGTGTTCGTTGAACACTTGCTGAGACTTTTCAGTCTTGGGCAGTATCACGACCACCAAAGGCGCGCTTCAATCGAATGATGTGAAGAGGGCTATATCCCCTCTGCTCCAGTTCTCCCTTAATCTCAGTATCCGAAAAGTTGACGGGAACTCCTCGAACCACCGCATGGATGTTCCGTTCCGAAGGGAGAGGAAAAGTGTGATGGGGCACTTCTTCCTCTCGGAATAGGCGAACGATCTTACGGTAGTCGTCCTCGGATTTAGGAATAATCCTTATTCCCGCATCGACGGCAACAGCGCGATCTATTTTAATACCTAGGGAAATAAACTTGAAATTTAAAGTACGCCATCTCGTCCCGTCGCGTAAAACGATCGGGGTTATGCGC